CAGGCTAATCCGAAAACCCACCTACTGCTGATGGAAACATCCTGCACCATCCTACATAGGCAGCCGACATCAAAGAACAAGTTGGAACAATTTGGTGGTGCAATTGTTCCTGCATCAGCAACCTTGTAACTGCACCCAAGAATATAGAACCTGATCCGTCTGAACAGTATACCCTCACCTTTGAACCAAAAACCCTGACCTGGCAAACCCTACAACCCAGAATCTAGGGTCATCCCCCCTGACAGTTATTCAAGGGTTCTTGTTAAGGGGCGATTAGAACCCTAGACCCTAAACCCCCATATCCTAAACCCCAAGCCCATAAACCCCAAGCCCTAAACCCCAAGGACCTACCATGACCTACCTAAACCCTAAACCCTAAACCCTTAACCCTAAACCCTAAATCCTAAACCCTAAACCCTAAACCCTAAACCCTAAATCCTAATCTCAATCTGCTGCAAGGGCTCTGCTGCTCGGCCTCAGTCTTGCAGCCTCCGGAGGAAAGGAGGCTCTCAGTCTCTTGATCCGGGATACCCTCTCAACTTATGGGTTCTTGGTAGGGAGTAAGGGAACATAATCCCTAGGATTTAGGTTTTAGGGTTCAGGGTTTAGGGTTTAGGGTTATATAATCCCAGTCTACTGTATTCCCTGCAAAGAGTCCGGAAATCAAAGAAATTTGGGCATGAGCCAAGAACAGATGCCGGAAAACCAAAATCGTCATTGCCTCCCGTGGGGTGGAGGACCGAAAACACCAAATCTCTCTCTCTCTCCATGGTGGGCGCCTCACGCAAACTTTTGTGCGCGTACGCTGCATCCTAAGCCTTCCTGAAACCCAAAATTCAGTCCCCCTGCCAAACCCCAGCTCCATCCACCTCTCTGAGTCCAGGGTACTCAGCTCAGGAAGGCCTTTACGCCGAAATATTGAACAGAATACTAGAAAGAAGACAAACATCTTAGACTCTCTCTCTCTACCCTCATGAAGATGTCAAAAACCTGTCTGAGCTAAGGACTTAAGATATCTCGCCCCAGTCGGATGCAGTACGGCCGCCCTGGCTCCTGCACAGAAGCAAGCGGAGGATTTAGCCATGGGTGTACGGACTGGTTGTTCAGGGGTGTAGGGTCTCAGTTCAGGGCTCAGCATCTACGCGTTACATCGAATCTCTTGGTACACAGAAGAGAGTTTTGCTCAAGAGGAAGGGTGGACGGACATGGTATATAGGGGTATGTAGGAAGAAGCGATAGTTATCGACCTGAGGAAGGCAAAAAGAACGAGCAAAGAAGGGAAGAGATCAATCTGAGCGCATCAAATGGTAGCCCCTTCAATTGCAATAAGGCTGAGGTGCCTCGAATAACCGCACGGATGAGACTCACTGACAAACCGTGACAGCGCAACTAAAGAATAATAGTGGATGGAACCAGGCGATGACAAGCAGGGCCTATTGCCCGCCTTTTTTACTCTTCTACCACTAGTCCCTAGTGACGCTGTTTGAGGCTTACACCACCCTCTCCTGCAGGGGCTCCACGAAAACACCTGCAGGGAAAAGCAAAGTGCAAGCTCAACTAATCCAGGCACCCACCACCGCCGCCACGACCGCCACCACCACCACCACCCCCGCCGCCGCCGCCGCCACCACTGCCATCATGACCAACATGACCACTACCACCAGTGCTCCATTCTACGGCGGCTTTGGATGCCCTTGAGAACCTAGCATTGGGAAAAGCCAGCCATGCACACGCGGCTTAAAACATGGAATGCGATACATCCTAACAACGGCTGCAGGGCTCTGAAAGTTGGAAGGATGGATGATGGATGGACAGTGGCTGGGGTGTGACAGTCACCCGTGGCTGCAGCGTCATCCCTCCTGCCTTCGCAGCCCCTCCGGAATCGTCATTGGGGTCTCCGGCTAGACTTCAGGCTCCCGCTGCTCTAAGGAAAGTTTTTGCAAGCCCTTTCAGACTCACCCGTGCTCACCATATCTCACCATGACCCGCGTCCCTCTCCAAGGAGATTCCTGCCCGCCTGTCCTCACACTTTAGCACAGTAGCTTAAGGAGAAATCCTGCACGGTCAGCTGTGGATTCTAGACTCAAGTATGGCAATAGCGGAAGAAATATTATCTGCCCAGTGCAGGGGTACAGTTACAGTATGTGCAGCCAGACAGGTCGTGGTTCCATCCCTCAGATTGACCCTCACGGGTCAAGGCCACTGGCACCCATAGCGGTGGTGGCCAACACCCCTAGTGACCACATCAATTCAGTGTCAACTAGTAGGACTGGCCCAAGCAGGAAACATTTCCTGCCGAGGGTTTGAAACTTGCTTTCGGCAGCTCTAATTTCATCTTGAAAGACGGTAGCCTTTGTAAGGCCCCTTTTGTGGTGCCATGTTTGTTTGGGTGAGCGTGCTAGCTCTCGTGGACCGGGGGTTATGGGCTTTGAGGCTTGAGGGTTGGGATTCAGGTCTGAACCCTCAAAACCAACACCAACAGGGTCGCATGATTCTTGGCTCAGGAAAATGGCTTGCAAGCCACCGAGCATGTTCACCAACTCCATTACCCTGCACCCAGTTAACATGTATCTTTATCGCTTGTTTTGTGACCACTCCACATGGACTGACAATGGAGGGTTTCCCTAAATAGGGGTACCGGTACAAGGTTGTATGGGTTATCGGGTTATCGAGCGGTATATAGGGTGAAGGGCTTCGTAAAAAATAGGGGTACCTTGTTGGGGGGTCGCTACAATGAGAGGTATAGTGTTTTGAATTCCATATTGGGGTCTCCCTATTTCCATTTTCGAAACGCTAATCCGTCACACACCGTCATAACACCGCAGGAGCAATCATATTTGAGAGAAGCGAGTAGAACATGCCCCAATCGCCATTTCATATTCCATAGTCTTTTCCATTTCGATTCTCCATTATAAATTTCCATTTTCTTTCCCACATTCAGACCTTGTTCCCGCATATTCTACCAGGCAGAGCAGGGGCCTGCCAGGGGTATCCTTCCTCGGATCTCATCCCGCATGCCGTCCTCCTTGGCAAGCTCTGGGGTCTTTTCTTTTTAAGAGCCTCTTTTCAACCCAACAAGGGTCGAAGGGCAAGGTGTTGGGGGATAGTCGGGCGTTTAGAACTTGCATTTTGGGTTAAAGGTCCACATCTGCTGCGAGTGACCTAGCTGAGGCATCAACACACTGATGAGCATCATGACCTGAATATTACATTGGCCAGCACTAAAATCCCCAGTCATATCCTATTGAAGCAAGCCGGGTTGAGGGGCAGCAGCAGGGTCCGACACCTGTTCAGCCTGTTCAATCGGGGTCTTCAAATGAACTGTAGCAGTGAACCCCATTATCATAATTGCAATTACTATGAGAATTACTAGTGACTTGTACTGTCATTAGTACCATCACTATTACGAGTAGTCCTTTTGGAACGAACTTGACAGAAGCATGGGCTGTCGACCTCCCCCTTCAACTCTTTCAACAGCAACTTGACGAATGCCCTAGTGTAGGATTGATAGGGTGTAGGATTAAGTGCCTAGGTTTACAAATATGAAACCCCATCTTGACAATTCTCTGAGTAAGATACATACACATTTTAATATACACACCCATAGATACCATATCTCCTTTACAAGTACCTAACACATGGCCCTTCCTTAGGTTTCATATTCTCCTCCGTGTGGAAAGTGCTCTGAGGCAGCAGCGCTCAGGATGGCTGGAGGAGAAACGAAGTAGTTGATGAAGTCCTCCCACGTCTGAGCTACGGCTTGGTGGGTCAACTTCCCAGACTTGAAGAAAGGTTAAGGGGGATATAGTGATATAGAGGAGCGCCAAAGGATGTATAGAGGACATATGAAGGTATTATAGTACAGTCGATGAAATTCTCCCAGAACCCTAAAGTCTAAACCCTTGACTCTTCCAGAGGCCTAGCAGAATTGGGCTAGGCTTAGGAGTTAGTTGAGCTAGTAGGGGGTGACGTCCTGCCACAACTAGGCTTAGGCTTTGGGGGGCGGTTAGGCTGTATAAGGGGAGGGACAATTCCACCATTCAGCCCCTTGCCCTAATAATAAAGCCCCCCACTCTCTTAACCATGAATCCTCCAAAGGGTAATACTTATTTGAAGGGGAGTGGGGAGTTTGTTGTTTGGGGGAATGGATATTCCGGACATGGAGCCAGACTTGACAGGGGTGGCTACGTAGGTCTCTAGTGCCCCGATTAAAAGGACACCTTGCGCTAGGAATTTCGCGGGTGGTTGAATGTGACTGTGAAGGAAAAGAATGTGTCCTCCTCAAGCACGAAGAATCGTTCGCACCACTCCTTTCTCCAACGACTCTGCTTCTCCAGCATGCCAGCAACACGTTGCCGTCTTGTCTCGCCCATGTTTGCTGCTGAAGGAGGCTAGAGGGAAACCAAATGTCCCAGAGCCCCCGGTTGCATCACTTCCGTGATCGCCTATGTACAAACCGCTTGCAACTTGAGCCAAGGCGGAACAAGCAATCCTCTTCCGCCACGAGGCTCTGCAGGCAGGAACCAGCAGGCATGCAAAAGGTGACAGTCCTTAAGGCAAATGCAAGAACCATTTTGTTCAACTGCGACGTCTGTGCAGACATTCTCACTTGTATCACTTAAAGAGATTCGACTTCTTGGCAGAAGCTGCTGTGCAAGGTGAAACACACAACCGAAAAATCCGGCCAACCTTCAATCCATTCCGTTCCAGACGCGGAAGCTACTGGAGTTCTGAATATCTTTTATGCTCGCACCAGGGTTTGGGGAAAGCAGTTGTGGGCTTAGAGCAAAGAAGAAACACCCTAAACCCCATCTCCTTTGTCTACGGAAAAAGGCAAAACACCCAACACGTCTCCAGGCCCATGAACATCCCGAAACCCAAACCCTAAACCGTAAACACTGAGCTCTAATTCATAAACCTAAACCTTAAACCCTTGATGCCTAATACCCCTAAAACCTGAACCCCTAAACCCTAAGCCTTAAATCCCAGATCCAACCCTCTCAGAGGCCGCTCTTCTTCCCTGCCAAGCCAAAGTTCACGCCGAGGGAGCTTGGGAAGCCTCGGTTTCTGCGCGTGAGGGTAGCTACAGTAGAGTATATGTGGAAATTATGTAAGGATACGAATATTAGAATGAGGCAGGAAAACGGAAATCAAGGTTCCATAGTACAGTATTTGCGCATTGGGGTAGGCGCTTAGTTTCGATATTCACCCTTACACTATCCATCCTTACCGGCATTCTACCATAGCAAAAACTATACCTCCCAGCCGACCAAAACCCTCTCTAAACCCAAAGCCATAAAGGCAACTGACCCAAAGTATGATAGTTACGGTTCGGGATTCAACCCTTGCCCGTCCTGCCACTTCCTTCTAGACCCCAAATCCAACCTACTCAAGCTTACCCAGAGAGGGGGATATCTCCCGAACCCTTTTGTCATAACAAGTTCTGCAATCGTCCTTATCACCCGTTGCCCCATTCCCAACTACGCCCTAAACCTTACACCCTAAACTTTAAGGCTTCGGCCACACAACTGGCAAAACCGCAAATCCAAGCCCCAATCCCTAAAGCCTGAGACAACCCCTCCACAAAGCAAACATAACCAGATAACCCTAAACCCTACACACTACCCTACGGACCCGCGCAGAACCCCTCTAAAATCCCCTTGAAGGGACCCTGTGGTTGAGCTCAGTCAAGCTGCCCAGCTTCCCCAGATTCTTCTTGACATCGCCGGAGATCTTCTTCAGATCTTCCGACGCCTGCTTCAAGATACTGGTGCTTCAGGAGGATTTGATGTTGTTACAGCTTCAGGGTTCAGGGGTGGTGGTTGTACAAGGGCTAAGGTCATCAGAAGACAGCATCACATGAAACCACATTTCCTACACAGAAGCTGTCTTTGAAGCTGGGTAGGATCAAGCCCACAAGTTCGAAGGATGGAAACACTTCTGGCAGTGAACCAAACGGTTTTGGCTCTGGTCCAATGAGCTTCAAGATGCAGGCGACCGATTGGTGGAACCCTGGGGAAGATGCCAGACTTCAAGGCTTAGACAAGGCAACACTGATACAGAGTAAAGGTCTCAGGGACGGACTGAATTCGGGAATCGGCTGAGGAATCAATTTGAGAAAATTTGAGATATCTATTATCATGGGATGTCCTGGAATGTCTCAAAACTGTGGGTTCTTTCTTTGGCATGTTGGCACTATGGACACCACTTCCCTGCTTTAAACGAGGGCAAGCGGCTTGCCACTGTCTGAGGCCGATCCTTTTTAGATGATGTGGAGAAAAGTAATATCAAGACAAGGCTTGCACGGCATAAGCTGCTACAACTTTGCCTGACACAAGGCGTCTCTCACTGTGCACCCCAGAACCGTTCGCCTTGGCACCCTTGTTCAAGGCATCGCCCAGGTAGTTCATCGTGGAGCCAATGGAAGGGACCTGAAATTGAGGACAGCGGCGGCTGCGAGGGCCCAGAGACTTTTGGGAATCGCAATGAGATTTCGGGCCTTGAAGACCTTAAGGACTACATAGTGATTATCCTAAGAGACTCCCATATCTTGAAAGCTTGTAGGAGCCTAAACACAAAAACCCGAATCTGGGGCAGGTACGCGGAGCAACCATTTTGACTTTGCATCGAGCGTATGTGCTGGGTGAAGTTCGTTGACACCACATGTGCTATGCCGGGCTTCCGCAAACGCCTGGCTTCTCATGCTCTCCAACAGCAGGACCCATCTCTCACAGATGGCCTCCAAATCAGAAGTCTTTTTTGGCAACCCCAGACCCAAAGAGATGGTTGCGAAAAAACCAAAGGGCCCACTCCAGGGTTTACGTGCACTGAGACTTGGGGCAAGGGATGCAAAGAATAGCTGAAGTCGGTTTCCAGAAAGATGGGGGTGCCTTCTTCTTGGCAGCCCACAATGAATCTTTCATGCGGCCCGATTTTGATGTATATCAGGGGTAAACATGTTCCGGCAGGGCCGCGCAGAAAGCCACAACAAGTCCTCTTGGACAAGGCCCGCCTCTGCGTGGCAATGCACTAGGGCACACCACCCTCATCATGGGGATCCCTAAAAAGGTACTCCTGACTTGGGTAAACCCTAAGTCCTAAGCCCTGTGTAACCTACGTTTATAAATCTATATAACCCATATATCCCCTGTAATGCTACCCTTATCTTAGGAAACCCCTATCCCGTACCACCAAGGCCCCGACGCCAAGCTGCGGTTCTGTGGACCCTGCAGCGTTGTCATGAATTGTCGTAGGGGTTTCCTAGGAGGGCCTATAATAAGGATTTTCATATATTGGGGTCTACATTGGGAGGCCCCCCTGATTTTGGGAACTACTACATATGGAGAGTTGTCTATGGCCCTTTCTGCGTCCCCTACAAAATCTCGTTGCATTGATATCCCAGAACTGACTTAATAACTGCACGTATTGTAAGTAAAGCCTGCGCTGAAAAAAATCTCTCCAGAAACAGGGATGGGAACCGATGGTAACTGGTGCTGGCTGCGGGGAGGGGTCATGGGAGATTGCATGGGGAGGAGGGGGCTAGCGGCTGAAGCGCCCCTCAACCCCCAGCAAATGTCATTCGCACAGGATACTTACGAATCCAATGGAATAGTTTTGCTTTGTCAAGCCCCCAGTCAATCTCCATGAAGCTCTCCGAGATTTTCGGGTGTCTCTTCAAGCTCGCAAATCCGGCGAACGGCTTGCTTTTCAGTATAATCCTCTTCCAATCCAAGCAGCACTGCGAAACAATTGACAGAATCAGGGTCTCAACCCAACCACCTACAACCCTTATAATGGGAATCCCGAGAAAGGTACCGCTGATTTAGGCAAACTTTGAACCCTAGATAACACCTACCTTTATAGCCCTATACAACCCCCATACATATCCCCTTCAATGGTACCCTTATTTGGGCACCCTTTTGCTCTGGTTCTCCTTGCTGCCTAAACCCTAAACCCTACCCAACAATGACGGTCTGCCTGCGGCTGCGTCGCTGCCATCCCCTCCGCTGGAAGGTTACTCATGCTTTTTGGGTCAGATGGAAAAAGTTGTTTGGGGGTTTCCCAAAATTAGGGATGCCTTTCAAGAGGTGATATAACGATGACATGGGGATTAATAGGGTTTAGGGTATTATAGGCATCTTTTTTGGGTCCCGAAAATAAGGATTATAGTATTTTGGGTGTTCCCCTATTTAGGGACACTATCATTTGATTTAGCCATAATATGACACAGCTATGGCGTGAATTGCCTTCGAAACCGACCTGCCCGTGTGCAGCTCTATCCTATGCAACCATTTATCTCTCCAAGTCCCATCCTCTAAAGACTTACTCGTAAAATCTCGAGCCCCCTGCCAGCCCCTCCTAAAACCACCCCGTGGCTGCGAACCTGAACTTCCAAATGACTACCATCAAAACGCTTTGTATGCCCGCTACTTGGGCACGATGCACGTGCAGACAGGCAGGCAGACAGAGACACATGCATACATAATCATACATACATACGACATACAGATGTACATACTAGCATGAGGAGGTGCCAAGTGGTGTGTAGGAATTATGTCGAAATTACCGGGGCCTCTTTTAGGACTATACATTGCTGAGAACGCACTTCTGTTTCTAAAGAATTTCCAAGCCTCTGGGAGGATCTCACCATTAAATCCCCTAAATTGTTAGAAAAAATCAAAAAGAGCAGCTTCGAAAAAAACAATACATAGTTCCGCATGCGATTCTTGTGGATCTGCGGTTTTAGATTCCTTTGAGGGTCTGCGTTGTTTAAATGTAAGGTAAACTCCTGAAACCCCCCAATACGACAGACCCCATAAGAAGGACGAGAATCCCTAGGAAAAACATGACTTTCGTAGTCGGGAATCTACCTTTTTTTCAACTTGCCCTAAATCCTCAACCCCAAACCCCACCCTAGAAAACCCTAAACCCCTTACCCTCAACCCTAAAGCTGTGCGCATGGCCCAGAAAAGGCCTGCTGCCCGCAAAGCCAAGAGCTGCTGTACGAGGGGGTCGTCAGTGTTAGATGCTTCCCCAAGCCTGAGGGACTTTCGGATGGTTATAGGCACTGGGTGACATTAGATCATTAGGGTTATGCCGGGGTGATATTAGGGTTACATTCGGGTTACATAGGTTTATGTTGGGGTTATATAGGGTTGTATTGGGGTTATATAGGGTTATTTTGGGGTTATATGGGGATAATGGAAAAGAAAATGGAAACTACTATAATGGACTCTATAGGGTTTAGGATGGTTATATTGGGGTTATATCGGGATAATGGAAAAGAAAATGGAAACTACTTTAGGGTTTAGGGGCTTTGCGTCGGTTCGCGTTTAGGATAGGAGCTTTTTTTTGCACAGTCTTGTGTTCGAATTTTGCGGGCTTAAGTGCTGAGCGTCTAGGGTCTAGGGCTCTAGGCTCCGGATCTAGGAGCCTCTGCAAGAACAGAAGTACTCCCTAAACGAGCTCTGCAGGGGTGTATAGGGTGTGCGCTGCTTTGTGTTGTGTTTTGAAGTTGTTCAACATAGACCTACCTTGGGGACCCAAGCGACGTAAGGGGAGAATCTGGCGATTAGAAGGAGCCCTTCTGGGCATCATGTAGGGCTTCTTACGAGAACCGTGCTGCAGCAGCGGTACGCTTGCTACTTGTACTAAAAATGGAAGCAGGGATGGAAATAATGATAACAAGAAGAATATTAATCGCAGGAATATCAGCGGTACCAACACCAGCAGCAGCAGTAGCAACACTAATGACCACCAAGAAATTCATCACTACCTAGTGCTTACCACGGAATGCAGGAGTGGATCCCTATCCACCAAAACAGCCCTTAGAACCAATTACTCCATTCCCTACGAGTCAGCACGGAGATCATGGCAACTTGCAGGATGTTGATTTCACACTTAATGCTGTTGAAGGTGGTGTGGGTAAGCCCGCAACAACACTGAAAGCAACACCTTTAATTAATAGTGCGTACGTATTTTCTGTGCCTTACCCTCAACCCCACAAGCACTTTTCACTGTCCTTTCCACTCCCCCACTCTCTTTTGAGCACAAGGAAATACAGAAGCAGTGCCGAGACTGGCCGAGACACATGGCGGATATGGAGGCCGCATCCACTACCTGGGGTGTGTTACCATTACTAGGTGTAGGTATTATTTGGGTTTAGGGCCCAGGGGGGTAGGCAAGAGGAAACCTTAGGAAGCCTTGGGGAGTGCGAGGGAGGATTCGAGAGTACCCGCTTCAAGGACATAGTAAGTTTGGGAATGAAGGTTTGTTACTCTCGGATGCATGAGGTTTAGGGACTGGGCCGATGCTGCAATCATGAATTCGAACAGGTTTAGGGCTTGAAGTTTAGGGTATAGGGCTTTAGGGTTTACAGCTCCAGGTTTTGAGTTCACACTTTAGTTGAGGGCGAGTTTTGAGAGATTTTGAGGTATATGCAGAAAGCATCATACAGTCAGATGCCCGACGACGGGGCTTTGAGGTTCAGAGCTTGCAAGCTTAGATTTTTCTCGGTCTAGTCGTCCCCAATGAGCACCCGTAATGATCTAGCCTGTGTTCTCGAATGACTTTGCTTCTGGAGCTACATCGGCAAGCCCGGAATCTATACCGCACACTCACGCACTAGTAATCTGATGAAATCAGATCGCATGAAACCATACACAATGCCACTGAGTGCCCGATTTCGTACCTGAAGCTGACCTTTACAAGCTGTTTCTTTTGCTTTCACGTCAGCAAGAATAAGTCTGGCATCGCCAAAGCTGCACCCCAACATCTGAAGACTCCCCTCGCAAAAGATTCAGCGTCCTTCACTGCTCACCACCCCCTTTTTATCTTAGAGGTCTGGGAAAGGAACTAAGTACTCAAGACTCTGTGTCGTTGGGCGGATGGGGGGACGCTAATACGACAGCATTGTTCTGTCAAAGCCATGGCCCCAGACGAGGTGCTAAGCAGTAGGGCTAGAACCCTGTCAAATGTGCAAGACTATGGTGTCCTGCATGAATCCTTGACCTCTTTCTTTGTGACCTCAAGCACTTGAGAGGGGTACCATAATTTTGTATGGCAATACTAGTAATAAAAGACATGCAAAATAGTACTAACAACAATAGTATATAATAGTACTAATACTACAAGTCCTAAACCCTAGACCCTAAAGCCTACACCCTAAACTCCTACATTATATATGGACTTTTTCCACAACAGAATTTTTTCGGTTCAACGCCCCAAAGCCGCCGGGGAGCGTCGGGCGACGAGAGGACCTTCAGGATGATCTCCGCCTTGCCCATCTCCCGCCTGGGCAAGCCGCTCTTTAGGGTTATATAGGGTTATATGGGGTTATATGCGATTTGTATAAGGTTCTACAGGGATAATATGAGGGTTATGCAGGGTTCTATGGGGATTATGGAGCTTCACCCCTCACATTCGCAGGGATATGGTTCGAAACTAGACAAATGGACCTAGATCGTAAGGGCTGAACGATCTTCCATGACAAGGTCTTAATCTGGGAAGGGATGTAAGGTTCAAAGGGAGTTTTGGAAGTTGGGCTGGGCGGTGAACTGGGGATGCCATCTCGAAGAGTACGTTTCGACATCGCGTACGTTATGAAACTATTCTTACGTTTTCGGGGCTTCAGGGCATGATGAAAATGATCATCCTTCGTCAGTCCACAGTCAAGACTTTGGAAAACTGTGTTGGTTGCCATCCTAAACAACTTCTAAGAAGTCCAAATTCCTGAAATAAGCAATTTTGGGACGATTCCCTATGTAAACCACCATTTGGGGTGAGCTCGCTCTGCTTTGCCCATCTCAGTTCCTCAGGTATACCTGGAACTTTTGCAGCCAAGGTTCAGGACGTAGTTGCTGTATGCCGTAGGCATCTGGCGCCCCTGCCCCGCGATCCTGGGTTGCTGTTGAGGAATTGAAATCCAGTTCCCATAATTATCAAAACCCAGTATGTGCTGCATGATGCTCTCAAAAAAATGTAGATTTCTAAATAGCAATCCAGAATCACAGGTGCCTCCAGCAGCGTGGTTTTGATCAGCGCAGTATCCAGAAGGAGCTGCTGAGCTCCCTTCTCGCTTATCTTGCGGCACTTGTGGACCTCTGCCACAAACCGCGAAACGAATGATTGAACGAACTTGTCACAGAAGAAGCGGTAGTGAATCTTGGAGAGATGTCGAGCTATAGGCTCGAACTGCTTTGGCAAACGTTCGCTGATGTCTCCAACGAAGGCACTGTGGTCACCCACATCCTGCCAAAGCTCATTGTGGGAGGAACAATTAAGTCAAGAGCGGGCGGCGCAGCAGCAGCAGGAGCAACTATGATGTGAAGGAATACTCCCGGCCCTCAAAACCAAATGTAAAACCGAAAGGAAACACTACACATTGATCTATCTTGCAGCTCTTTAGTTTTCACAAACAATACGCGTGTACTCCCTCAGGTTCGGGCAGCAAGCTTGCAAGCAAGCGCCCTCTTTGCAGCGGTCTGGTTGTTAGTAGGGAACGGAGGGAAGGAAGGGAAAATTATATTGTTCGGGTTAAGGAGTGCGAAAGACACCGGAAACTACATCACAAAAAGGCGTGCTGGCAATATGGCAACAACAAATACTGCAAGGGGCCATGCTAACCATGCTACGAAAAATTTCACAAGAATCATGTTTTGGGAAGTTCCAGATACTGCCAAATCCATCGTACTTGCTAAGAAACGTTCTGTATTCTTAGCGGGGGTAGCTGGGAACGCGTGGTCCTGTGAGAAGGCCGCCCAGTTGGTCTTGGTCATGCTGCCAAAGGCCTCATCCAAACCTGGACGATGCTTGGCAGTGAGGCCCTCAGTAAGGTTTCTTAGTGGCCCCAGCCTACAGAAGCCTCTTTGTAGGGCTCCGTGAACCAGATCGATTTGAAACCGTCCCTTCATAGTGTTTTGGATGGGCTCATGCACAGGAAATGTTGGGGCCACTTTAAATGCGCAGTCAAAACTCCTAGGAGCTTTCATGTTCTCGTACAGCTGATGATCAAATCTTATAGGAATCCTACTGGAAATGCACTCTGCCCACAGAAATCCTTTCCATGCTCCCCTCAGAGGGCTTGGACAATCGGTTTAAACAAATTGTAGCCTTATCTTGGGCAGCCGACAAAATGGCGGGCTGTATTACAGGTATATAAAAATATGTGAAGGGAACCTACTAAACCCTACACATTACTAACCAAAAGCAAGAAGCTACAGCTCACGGACTGCACCAGTGCGTCATTTGCGCGGTTGACCAGGTTTCGCAGGATCTCCTGCTCTTCGTGAAAACCTCGGCAGGAGCACAATTAGGAGGAAACGCTAGCAACATCCATGAACTTGATTCGAAAACTCCTCTATAGTAGTTTCCATTTTATTCTCCGTTATCCCTGTATTACCCCTATATTGGATTATATTTGGCTGACAGTGGTAGCTATGAACGCGTGCGCATTCATTTTTGCTGCTCCCAATGCTCGCAGCATCGGCACAGCCTTCTGAAGATCATATTACTACTACTATTACTATTAGTATTACCAGTACTATTATTATTACTACTATTACTAGCACTGTTAATTTTTCTGAGAATCAAATGCTCAGGGATACATTGAACTGGGACAGGCTTTGGGCGAATCAGAAATGAGTTCAACCCAACTAAGGTCACGGCCAATACGGTCCTGGAAGTCTGCGCTGATAACCTTGAGGAGCGACTCCTCCAGCTGCGGCAGGGTCTCGTCGCAATACCTGAGTCTGAGTTTGTCCTAGGCCTCATATACGGGTTACATATGCATATGTACAGGGTATACAGGGGTTGTATAGGGTTATATAGGGATACGGAATGGACAAGAAAACGGAAGCTACAGTTTAGAGGGTTTGGGATTTTTTCAGGTATACGGGCTTGGGGCCTCGGATTCAGTTTGGTTCGGTACCTCCTCTGATCACTTCTTGCCGAGTAGCAGATGAAGAATAACCCAACATCACGCTCTCGCATGTGGCCGGGCATGATAGCACCCGAATACTGTAAGGACGCCCAGAAGGGCTCAGAGCTGTGTCTAGAACCTACTAGTTCCGACCCACCCACCTGACTACATATCAGACTCCATGCAGGCCTGGCGTGCATGCTCACCACAGCAGGAACTTCTTCATACAAGTAGACGGCTTACCGTTCGATGTCGCGGGCGCGATGAATAATGATAATCTCAAAGTCCCTACTCCCTGTTTCCATGTTCATGTCCATTTCACTCTCTTTTACAAGGGGTGAATATCCCTATATAAAACCCCTACATCACTACAAAGCCTCCTAACCTTGGACCAAACCCAGCCTCCAACCCTAAACCCTATGTACCCATATTATGGTATTGCGGTATACCCTAAACCCTAAACCCTATATACCCATATTAAACATTAAACCCCAAACCCCAAATCCTCAACCCTGAACCCTAAGCCCTGTATAACCCCTATATAACCTCATATTGTAAACCCTCAATGGCAGAAAAACCAGGCCAGCCACTCCGCAGTGCCGATGGCACAGCAGACGGCCTGGACGCCTGCAACGTCCAAACCTTGGTTTAAGCTTAGGGTTTAGGGTTTAAGGTTTAGGGTTTAAGGTCTAGGGTTTAGGGTTTAAGGTTTAATGTTTAAGGTTTAGGTTTTAGGGTTTAAGGTTTAGGGTTTAAGGTTTAATGTTTAAGG